GATGCGAACCTCAACTGGACATCTATACATGAGACACTGCTTTTTCATATATATATATATATATGTAGACAACAACTCTTCGCAAAGATCAAATATTGTTTCAATATCATGTTATTTCGAAGGCCATCCCCTCAGGGCGTCAGCAGGAAGCCCAGGCCCCCCCAGGAGCACCACGCACACCCCGGCGGAGGGAGCCGCCGCGTGGTGGAGCACCACGCACCAGGCTGTGCAGCTCATGGACGTTTCCATCAGCCCACCGGGCGTGGTGGAGCGCCACTCGAAAGCCACTGGAAGCACCACGAGCTCCGACTACCTGGCAGCACCACGGAAGGCCAAGGTCCGCCAGCGCCAGAACTCCAGGCCGGGACAGCGCCAGAACTCCCACGCCTCCCCGGTGTCGAGCCGGGCTGTGTTCTGAAGAAGGACTGGGGACCAACGGCGGATGCCGAGATGGCCTTGGGAGCGAGAGCGATGGCTTCCACCCTATAGTAGCGATGGCCTCCACCCTATAGTACAGTGGCTCAGGCAGCCCATCATGGACGAGAGTCAAGAGACGGACTTCCTGGACGAGGTGCCCGACACCCCCAGAGACACGGAGAAGAGGTATCGCAGCTCGGCGGCGCTGGACTCGGTGTTGCAGGTGGTGCGTATCACGCGTGGCGTTGCACCGGTCACCGTGGGTTTATTGAGCCATTGCCATACACTGCACGGGATGTGGCATATGTTTGCACTATCTTCTTGCCAGAGCACAAGCCGATTTAAGTCCTTCTAGCACGATTTTTATGCGATTCATGCAGGTTCACGGTGTGCATTGCAATGAGTCATCACTATACAGCTCAACATGCAACTGAGGGAAGCAGAATGAAAAGGAGAGTCATTTGCAAACTCAGGTGATTTTGGTACCCAAATCGACACCCAGTTCCGCGATACGGGTGCACAGACCGATGCCTCCTGGTCTGACTCTTGGGCCTTTCTTCATCGGGGAGTCAGGGTGGTGCCTGACTCGCATGGCTTTTCTCCCCGCTGGGAAGAACTGGAAGGCCGACCGGGGTTTCAGCAGGAAACGCGGGGTTCCAGCAGATTTAGCCTTCAGCGTTTTTCGAACATGGACGGTCACTTGGACTGAATGAGATTTGGCATGGTAGGGCATGGTCAATGTTATAGCTGGATCGCGTGAGGTACTGTATGCTATTTTTCTCGTTCTTTTCAATCAAACCTGCTTTTGCATTGCAAAATTCTTGTTTCATAGCCGGCATTCTCTATAACATGGAGTTCTGGCAGGATATTCCCCCAGTCAAGGGGGATCTTTTGCATTGCAAAATTCTTGTTTCAGGTCTTTCTTGTTATTTGTGCCTTGAAGATCAGCATTTCTTGCAGTCCAATGCTGAACGAGCCCATGCGCCGGTCGCAGGGGTCGCAGGTCTCTCGACAACGACGGCCTCTCACAACGGGGGATTCGTGGCATGAGAAACGCGTCTTTTGGCTGAGGATTTGGCGGCCGAGAAGCTCAAGCAGGACAAGAAAAAGAAGAAGAAGTCCACGGCCACCAAGGTGGAGGGGCTGCACTTCTGGTTTTGCGGAGTTTGAGGGGATTTGGATGTTTCTCCAACCGGGTGAACCCTACATAACCCTACTACACCTGGGAAATTCGGAATAGTGTTGCTGTAAGAATCTGTAAGATATTTGTTTGCATCCGGTTCCTTAGCAATTCGCAGAGGTGTTTGTGTGTACGGGTTCTGTTTTCGGGTGTGAGGGACATGTCGAGTGTCTTTCAGGTCTCCTCATGACTCGTGTCAAAACCTCAGGTCATGCAATGTGTGATCATTGGCTGCGAACTGCTTCTCTTGCGAGACCTGTAACTAACACGATGTAAGAGTGTCGATGCAAGATTGACTACTCACGAGAGCTTTATTTAGCAGGTCGTTGACCATTGACCTGTTGGACTTGGAGGGTCTTTTTTCAAGAAGGGAAGGATGATGAAGGATAGGTTCAGGGGGAAGCTTCCAGAAACGTGCCGTGCCACCATGGTTGGAGGCCATGGCTACGGAGGCCATCGCTAGTAGGTTGGAAGCCATCGCTATTATGTCGACTTATGAGGACCCCGCGAGCAGGTCACCTCATGTCGAATTATCCCTGACAGCCCCTGTGAATTTGGGGCCGCTGCGAGGCTTCCACACACTGGCGACAAGAAGAAGACCTTGCTTATTCAATGTTATTTCATCTTATTTCAACACATTTCAACTTTGTTCGTCTCTTTTTAGGAGTGTGGAACTATGAGATGAATTGGAGCTTTGATGAGTCCTCCTTCAGTCACTGAAGTTGGACAAGAAAAATGGGACACGAGCAGCTGAAGTTGGTCAGTCCTGGTTGCATGTCCCTCTCTAGCCCATATAGAGCTGGCAAAACTGTGCGAACTTATCTCATGTTCATTCAAATGCACCTGTACACCCCCAAACTGACTGAGGCCACAAACTGAGGCATTGAGCCAGGGCTGTATGGTTCACCCCACATGTGCCATATGCTTCACTCAATTTTGGACGTTAAAACCTTCCTGCACCGCATGGGGCTTGACTGCTTGATTCCCAGGAGGAGTCAGTGCGACAGCAGCACACCAGGGCGGCCAACTTCACGCCCATTGACAAGCTGAAAGAAAAGGCAACCGCGGCAGCGATGAAAAAGCAGTACAGCGTCTTTGACTACTACAAGGACCAGACGTACAGACCAGGTATAGCTAGTGCCAGGGTAGATGGCAGAAAAAAATCGTGGGGGTGGAGTACTTCCTGCACAGCTTGGGTCGCAGTATGTTGCAGTTGCTTAAGGAAAGACAGCAGAATGCTATGTTGGCTACTCCCTCGGTGAGCCTGTGTCTCAATCTGAGCAATGTCCTAGAGCTTTATTGCTAAGAAGGAGCCCCCCTAAACAAAAACCACCGACGTGCTTGTAGGTCATTTCCCTATCAGATCCCTATCCTGCGCCTGCCCCCTTTGGCAGTGGGTTGCTGGCCCACTGTCCCCTTTCGCCAGGCATTCTAATTCTGTAGACTGAGTTTCGATAGGAATCTGATTTTGTAGACCTCTTGGGGTGTTAGAACTACTAACTACAGAATAGAAAGCATTATGTGCTGTTTAAAACTGTTATAGATACATCTAGAGATACAACCTCGGTGAATCAGGTCCCATTGACAGTACCTTTTGGCAGACGCCCCATGTCGAGACAAGTCTTCGGATGAAGCCTGTGACACCCCGAAGGCTAAGGCTGCCCATGGCGTTTCTGCTGGCCGAAGGACGAAGCTCGCAAAGGCCAACCTATGAAGTGTAGAGATTATAAAAAAAGGGTTGAAACCACTCAAGCACAAAGCCCCTAGGCCCTAGGGGTGCGAGGAAACCTCGCAAAGCTCACCTTTTTCCGATCCTGGCCCCCAACCGCCCAACCGCAAGGGCATAGGAACTATATCAGAGAAAGAAACACGGCTCACAGGGGCATGCACCCATACGACATTGGCTGGCACATGATGTTCACGTGACTACAAGTTTACGTGACTACCTTGGCTGGCACATGATGTTCCTCCCGTCGGGATACATGCGAAGACCGGCAGGATGAGGGCTGTGCGCAGCGTATTGCTCGACATCCGGTGTTCGACAACGTGACGATTTTGGTTGTGATTGCCAACTCGATTTGGCTGGGTGTAGATGCAGACATGAATCAAGAGGCCATCCTTTTCAATGCCCATCCAGTGATTATTGCTGGAGTCCAGGTTGCATTGGGAAACCCGAATCCGCAGAGTGATTCACGTTTATGTTGATTGCAGCGGAGGATTGCAACCGCTGTCAGGTTTGGATTTTTGTCATGTACTCGTCAACTTTAGTGGAAGTCTACAGAAAAAAGTAATTCTCCCAAGGGCCACGTGATGTGTTCTTCGGACTGTATTCTCACCGGGTTTTCCAATAATTGTTTAGACTCTAGGCCTCCCGGCTTACATGTTTCATGTTGTTGGTCCTTTCATTGACGGCAACGAGCGCCGAGGCTTTACGTCTTTTACTTGGTGTGTTCAAAAGCCGTGGTTGACCGGTTTATCACTATCAGTTTTGCACAAGCATCGCACAACAAAGAGATACGTTTCCAAGTCTACGTGGCCACGTGGATTAGGGGCCAGGCAGGAGTTCGCTTCGAGTTCCGTCCAGACGAGGAGAGAACTTCTTTTGCATCTACTTCACGCTGGAGATCATCATCCGTTTCTTGGCCTTCCAGCGGAAGTTGAACGCCTTCAAAGATCCTTGGACGGATTGCGCTGTTGTTCCTCCGTCCTCGTAGGAAACGAATGGACACGAAGTGTCCGACTCGTGGGACTTGTGTGCCCAACTCGTAGGACGGATGTTGGAGACACACAGACAGCATAAGAACCTCCCTATCAACATAAGGTTGACAAAGACAGACATCAAGAACCTCCCTATCAACATAATAACCTCCCTATCAAGAACCTCTTGATGTCTGTCTTTTTAAAGTTCGGGACTCGTCGATCCAACTCCGGTTGGCTAGAAAGAAGCCAGCGAATTTGTCTGGGTCCATCCGATCATGGATCCGACGTTTCGGTGCGCTTGGCAGCGTTCCCGACCGGCGCTGGAGCCGCTGGAGATGCAGCTTTGGATCTGGCGAGCGATAGTCGATAGTCTGACCTGCTTTCATTCGTTGAGAAAGGAGGATCGCAGGAGGAGGCGATGGTCTATAATATGTCATGTTTTTTGCTATGGTACATTGTTCACGTCCTTATACATCAGTGTTCACGCGATAGTGAGGCAGTGGCCTACCATACAGATATTGAAAAGGACCAACCAGAAGGCTTGGTCTCGATGGATACATATAGCTTCACACAGAGGCCCAAAGGAGGACACCGTGTTTGGGGGCTTTGCGGCTGGGAACCGTGTTGAGGCCATTCAGCTGAGGTTGAACCCCCCATCCCCAAAGCTGCCAAATTCAGGACCACAAGGGCTTCTTCACAACTGCAGCCCCTGAGTCACCAATGCCAGACCGGGCTTAAGGAAAGCCATGGCTTGTCCAAGTCAAAGGCAGCCCTGCTTTGAGCTGAGGATTTTTGGTTTAGCTTCGACCTTTGCTTGGCCATCCTCATCATTGTGGAAGCTCAGCTGGGTCAGGTGTTCAGCTTCGGCCCAGGGAGCTATAGGTGATGGTAGGTGCCGTAGGTGCGTGGCAGCTCAATTTGTTCGGCCATGCCGGAGTTCAATTTGTTATGAGTTCACTTCACCCCCAGAAATTCTGTGAAAATGGTCATGGCACCGGCGATGTCATGGACGCCTGTCATGGCTACACACAGAGGTTGACGTTCGTCAACGTCATCCATGAGAGTCACCAACTCCAGTTGTTGGGACGTATCAGCCGCCATCCCGAACCATCCCGAAGCACTGTTGCTCCGAAACACCAAAAAAAAAGGCCGCTTTCCTTATACGATCTTTTAGGGATTGGGCTATAGGCTATATATAATCTATGATTCTGCAGTTGGTGTGCACTGGTAGCATGTACACCAATGTAGCAACACAACCAGCAACAAAAGGGTGTA